TAGATTAAAGCCACAGCATTTCCTAGTTCAAGAATACTGTCATTGTCCTTGTCACTCTGATACTGTGTCAAAGTGTGGCAGTAGTGACGGAGTTGGTGGTGGTCATGAGTGCCAGGTCTGCTGGTGCCTTTCTTTTTCTAGATGGACACTAATGCGGGTGTCACCAAAAAACTAACATCCAGCCCAAATGACTTGTCAACAACAATTTCCACATAAAAATATAAAAGGCATTCTATGGTGTATGTTTAAAAGTGCCCTTGTTTGTTGTATTTTTTGTGACGTCTGTTAACCTCTATCTGACAATCCATGTGACATGCTTGTGCCAGGGGTGACAAATCCCCAAGGTCTACCATCCCAAGGGAAGTAATAACAATGATGACAGTGCCTGCATTTTAACTCTTAGGCTAACTAACATACACAGAGCGGAAGTAAATGTAACTCTTGGGGCTGGGCAGTAGGACCTGACCTTCAGGTGGGTGGACAGTAAAATCTAAGCAGAAGAGGAGGCAGGAAAGCACGGGGTGTCCTGAGAGGACACTGAATCCACCACTGTGGATGGACCTGCGTGTCCATATAGGGGAACAGGAGGAGAAATTGCTAAAAAGCGGGGCTGGAGTCCAACTGCCGAGGTCTTGGGTGGCAGGATCAGAGGGGACCACTGGAGATGGCAGGTAACATGAGGACAGCCTCATCTGGGGCTTTTAGAAGGACTCTGCTGAAAATGTGGCACTTGAAATTAAATACGAGGAAATACCAAAGTGGCCTGATTGGCTACTCAGGCTTATACCTTGCCTTTTATTGTCAGATAAAATTCATCTAAAGCACAGCGAGCTTCCTCCTGAATATAACTGCCCCATGTTGAATCAAATCAAGAAGCAAAGAATAAAGAATGGTTGCTGTTTTGGAGGGTGTGTGAGATGCAGGAAGTGAAGTGGTATAGTCAACCCGCACTGTTTGTAATGTCTCTGTCCCTGTTGGTGTTGCCCGGTGAAGGTCAGTCTTGAATGCCACACTAGAAATAAACAGAAGGGCTTCAGTCCACAAGGCACACTGTCATCTATTAGATCCTTATACCATGGAATCCTTCCCCTAAAATGCAGTGAAGAGGGACCTCGTGGGGGCAGCCACATGTGCAGCAACAAATTGAAAGTGACAGAACCACGTGGGGATGTGTTTGCAAGTCACCAGGCATACCCACCTGCTGGGGGTTGCCCTCACCTGCCTGGGGTAGCACAGGCCCCTGATTTTGTAGCTAGAGGAAATGACACTTGAAATGCTTGTCATGAACAGGGCCCCTTTAAAGTCATCTTAAAAAAAAAAACACCTTTTCTCCAAAGTGGGTTTCAAGTAACTATTTCCTCACTTTGAACTCATATAATTACACCCAGAATGCCCTCTTATCACAACAGAAGAAAATCTTTCTCTGGCCTCATATTTTTCTCTTCACTGACAATATCCCGTCCTCCTGTCCCTCTCTCTCCCCCTCCTCCGCCTCCTCCCTCCCTTCCTCTCTGTCTCTGTCTCTCTCTCTCTCTCTCTCTCTCTCTCTCTCACACACACACCCCACACACACACACACACACAGTTTTTAAAATCCTTTCAGATGCCACGTAACCACCCCCAAAACCTTCCTTGTCTCAAATTCTGTGTTGAGGGCTGGCTATCAGCCCTCCCACTTAGCCCCCTGCTGACCTCCTACCAGGCCCTTTAGCCCACAAAATCTTCTTTTCGCTGTTCCCCTCCCCCGGCCATTGTGGAAAACCTTCTGGCAAGCTCTTCAGGAGTACCCAGGCGTGAAGGGGGTGGCAGCACCAGCTCTAGGTGACCTTGACTGCCTGGGGTTGGTCATGGGAACAGGAAAAGAAGACTCCCCTGAGGTCAGAGTCACCTGCAAGCAAGCACTGCTCTTCCAAGTTCCAAGACCAAGGTCAGCCGACTATTTTAAATTAAAATGTAGACTGTAATTGGCATCTGAGCATATTGTAATTGACATCTCAGGTAAGCAGTCCCTAATGAAATGTCATATTTAATGACTAATTCCAAAGTTTAGAAAATACTAAATTGAATCCAGCATTAACCATGTTTTCCTCATGCTCCACTTTAACCCAATATTGAGAAGTGACTATTTATTTTAAAATTTTAAAGTTAACTGATAGACTTCTAATTTTCTCATAGTCTCCATGATTCCAATTACTACAAGTCTAAATGGAACCAAGCGCATCTATAATAAAGTGACACCCACCCACCCTAAACTCCATAGATAATTCCTGGAAAAGAAAAGAAACACAGTTGACGCCTGTTCAGTTCAGTAACAAAACAGAAGGAAGATGGACCAAGGCCAGGGAGTGGGGTGACCCAGCCAGAACCTTGGTATCCTGTGGGTACTCGAGCTTCTTTTGTTTTTTTAGTTGGAGTCTCACTCAGTTGCCCAGACTGGAATGCAGTGGCACGATCATGGCTCACTGCAACCTTGACCTCCTTGGCTTTGACCTCCTGGGCTCAAGCGATCCTCCTGCCTCAGCCTCTCGAGTAGCTGGTACTACAGGCACACACCACCTGGTCTTGAACTCCTGGGCTTAAGCGATTGTTCCACCTCTACCTCCCAATGTGCTGGGATTACAAGCATGAGCCACCACACCCAGCCTAATCCTCAGCTTCTTAAGAAAAGATGACCCAAAATTGGTACAAAGGCTTTTCCTTGGGCCCAGTGAACAGTCCTTTCTGGTCATTATCCAAATCTCTGGGTTTCTTCTCTACAGTCACCCACCACTCTTCTGAAGCTCACAGGGGAACGCCTACATCAGTTGGGGAAGAAATGTGCTACTCCCATATTTTGTTTTAGCCTAAAGAACTCTTCCAGATGAAAATCTTACCTTTCACCAGTCTAATGGGCTTCCATAACCAGGCCTGTGGGTCCCACTGGTGGAAGCAGTGATTCCTGGCCCTAGGAAGAAATGCAGCAGATGAGACTTTTTAAATCGCTTCTCTCTCCCTCTATATACGTATAGAGAGAGAGATGGGGATCTCGCTGTGTTGCCCAGACTGGTCTGAAACTCCTGGCCTCAAGCGATTCTCCTACCTCAGCTTCCCAAAGTGCTGGAATTACAGGTGTGAGCCACACACCCAGCCCCATTTCACTTCAAATTGAGGTTTGCTGGAGGCCCTCCCATGACCACAGACATTTCCAAGAAAGGGGGTTTTCTTTGGCAAGCAAGTCAGGCCAGGATGTGAGTTTGTGGGCTGGTGTGCAGGCATTGTAGGTTGTAGAAGATATAGTGTAATAACACGGACCCGCTTCATTTCATGTGAAGCAAACTCAGTGCCAAAGCGAATGGGAACTTGCTGTCTCATGGTCTTGATTATCCCAGAGCTGCCTGGCCAGAAGGGAGATGAAGGTGAAAAAATTAGGGGGTGAGGAGGGGTGAGGGAGATGGTCTAAAGGCAGACCAATAGGGAGTTTCAAAGCACAGCATTTTCAATCGAGTCAGAATTGGCTCTATTTTTACCTCTGTCGGTTAGGGTAGACTAGCAGAACCTGGTATAAACCGCCCCCTGCTGCCCGACACAGAGAAGTGCATAAATGTGCCCTCTTCATTAATAAGATTTGTGTTCTGAAATGCCTGTGGGGAATGGAAAGCAACCCAGGGTCCTAGCAGGCAGACTCAGAGGAGCCCTGGTCACCTTGATCCTCTCCAACATGAGGATGGAGGGAGGGCAAAAGAGCTGGACGCGGCTCTTGTAATAAGTGCTCGTTCAGGGGTTTGGAGAGCTACCTCATTACTCTTCCACAACCTTATTGCTCAAAGTGTAGTCCCAGCACTTTGGGAAGGCGAGGCAAAAGGATTGCTTGAGCCCCGGGAGTTTGAGACATGCCTGGGTAAAATAGCAAGACCTCACCTCCACAAAAAATTTAAAAATAGTCAGATGTAGTGGCGAATGCCCGGAGTCCCATCTATTCAAGAGGCTGAGGCAGGAGGATCACCTGAGCCCAGGAGGTTGAGGCTGAGGTGAGCCAGGATGGTGCCACTGCACTCCAGCCTGGGCGACAGAGTGAGACCCTGTCTCAAAAAATATAAATAAACATTTAAAAAAGAAAGAAAAAAATATAGACTCTTAGGCCCCACCCTAGTTCTGCTGAGCCAGAATCTGCATTTTAGCAAGATCTCCATGGGATCTACATGCCATTTACAGCCTCAGAAGGAACTTTAACCCAGAAGATCTGTTGTTCTCCAAGGTTTCGATAAAATTGAATTCAGTCTGAAGAGTGAAAAACGCAACCCAATAGGAGAGTTAAATCCTTTCAAGATCGAGAATGCTTTATGTCCTTCTTTTCTTTTTTTTCTTACTTTCTTTTTTTTTCTTTGAATTGAGTCTCACTCTGTCATCCAGGCTGATGTGCAGTGGCATGCTCACGACCACCACAGCCTCAACCTACTGGGCTCAGGCGATCCTTCCACCCTCAGCCTTCCAAATAGCTGGAGCTACAGGCACGCACCACCATGCCCAGCTAATTTTTTTATTTATTGTAGAGATAAGAGCTCACCAAATTGCCCAGACTGGTCTCGAACTCATGGGCTCAGGCAGTCCTCTCACCTCAGCCTCCCAAAGTGCTGAGATTATAGGCATGAGCCACCATACCTGGCCCTGTCCTCTTAATCCGTCTTTTGTACCCATCCTTACACTTCACTGGATCTAACCAAAGATGCTTTAACTTGCCGTGTTCTCCTTGACTTGCTATATTTCAGCAGCAACCGGCACTTGCCCAGCCGTTTCTTTCTAAATCAATCTGTCCCAGCACATATGCGACAGGCGTCTGATTTGCTCTCTGGCAGCCTCTGTGTGTTTACCACCGTTCTTGTTTGCTGGAATCTCCTCTCTCCCATGCGTATCCCCCTGCTGTTAATCGTTTAGCAATAGCGACCTGAGCAAGTCTGCAAGATAGAGCTGGCCCCCTGTGTCATCAGTCTGTCACTAACCTGGAGTGTTCTTTTCTGCGCCAGGTCAGGGAAGAATGCCGGCTCCTGAACGCCCCACCTGTTCCGCCCCGGAGCGCAAAGCCTCTGTCTACCAGCCCCTCCATCCCTCCTCGCACAGCCAAGCCAGCGCGGCAGCAGACTCGCTCTCCCAGCCCCACCTTGTCCTACTATTCTTCAGGGCTGCACAACATGTAAGTCTGCTTGCCAGGGCCCGCTGAAATGTTATCTTCTCGTACACCAGCACACAGGTTCTTGAGAACATTGTCCAGGCAGCCATAACTCAGGCAGGGTGGTGGGAGAGGAGATGGTTGTTGTTGTTGTTTTGAGTCACCCAGGCTGGAGTGCAGTGACACGATCATGGCCACCACAGCCTTGACCCACCAGGCTCAAGTGATCCTTCTGCCTCAGCCTTCCAAGTAGCTGGAACTGAAGGCGCATGCTACCACCTGGCTAATGTTTTTATTTATTGTAGAAACAGGGTTTCGCCATGTTGCCCAGCCTGGTGTCAAACTTCTGGATTCAGGCAGTCCTCTCACCTCAGCCTCCCAAATTGCTGGGATTACAGGCATGGGCTACTGCACCCTGCCTATTGTTGTTTTTTTGTAATAATTTTGCTGGGAGAACATCAGGAGAACCCTGTTGGTTTTGAGCCAGGTTGCAAGAACCAATGTCTTGGGAAGAAAGATGCCATGAGAATCCTGAGCAATCCAATGAGGGCTGCCAGCTGGAGTCTCTTGGAGGCAGCCCATGGTTTGCCCATGGGCTGCCTCACAAATTGGCATCTAGCTCTTTTTTTTTTTTTTTTTTTTTTTGAGTTGGAATCTCATTCCGTCACCCAGGTTGGAGTGCAGTGGCACGCTCACAGTCACTGCAGTCTCGAGCTTCTGGGCTCAGGTGGTCCTTCCGCCTCAGCCTTCCAAGTAGCTGGAACTACAGGCGTGCACCACTACACCCAGCTATTTTTTTTTTTTTTATTGTAGAGATGAGGTCTCATCATGTTGCCCAGGTTGGTCTCAAACCCATGGGTTCAAGCAGTCTTCTCACTTCCGCTTCCCATAGTGCTGGGATTTCAGGTGTGAACCACCACACCCAGCAACATCTGACTCTTTCTGCACTGACTTTGATATAAGCAGACAGCACCTCCAATCAGGACCTACAATTGACTCTAAATGTCCACCCAGACAGGAATCCCTTTTTAACCCTTGCTACTTACTGGGCAGCCATTTCTTCCTGTCTGGACTCTCCCAGTCCTGTGAGCTCATTCTTTTGCAATGCAGTTCATTCCATTGTTGGCAAAAATTCCAGTATTTTTTTTTTTTAATCCTTTATAATAGCAAGTTGAAATCTATCTCTCGGTATCTTTCAAATATTTCTTAAGTCTAGAAAAATAAAAATAGGTCCACCCCACTTCTCCTTGTTAGCCCATGAAAAGTCACAGTCAGCTATGATGTTAGTCTTCTCTTCTCCAAAAGAAACAGCCTCAGCCGGGCTCGGTAGCTCAGCCTGTAGTCCCGTGCCTTTGGGAGGCTGAGGCGAGTGGATTGCCTGAGCCCGCGGGTTCGAGACCCGCCTGGGGAGTGAGACCTCATCTCTACAATAATTCAAAAAATCGGCCGGGTGTGGTAGCGCAAGCCTGTAATTCCGGCTACTCGGAAGGCTGAGGTGGAAGGATCGCCGGAGCCCAGCAGGTCGAGGCTGCGGTGGCCGGGAGCGGCCACTGCACTCCAATCTGGGTGACCGAGTGAGACTCCAACTCAAAAAAAAAAAAAAAAAAGAGAGAGAAACAGCCTCATTTTCCCCTGCTATTTCCCTCTGACATTACTGTTGGGTCCTTCATCAACCCGGTCACTTACCTTTAAGCACACTCTGGTTTCCCTGTCGCTCTTAAAATGGGACCCCTAGAGTGGAACACACTGCTCCACATGGGATCCTGGCAGTTTAAAGTAGCTCTCTTTGCAAGTATTTTTTGTCCTCCAGACATTTAAATCCTTATGCTGATGTTACTTGGTTGTGCAGAAACTAAGATGTGGGTGAGCATTATATATGAAGCATTTCTTCCTACCTCAGACTTTTGGACAGACATGGCATCTTGGGTGGTGTGATGCAGTCATATCATTGAGGCACAAGGATGGCAAGCATGAGGCACCTGTGTTTCTGTCACCCCACCCTTGCCCATTGCAGACATCCCTCGCCAATCACGGCACCTGTGGGTGCAAAGCCCAGACATGACTTATGACTTTTTCTTGTCGCAAAGATCCAGGAACCTCTAATAGTGATTTTCTTATTAGCTAAAATATGTTTTTTCCCATCTCCACTGTAGTATTTAAAAATTCTTAGGTATCCACAATTACCAATGAATCTTAATAATTTAAAGATTCTTTAAAAAAAAAAAAACCCAGTGAAGTTAGCAGGTACTTTATTGCATTCATGTTAAGAAATACTTTGTTTTTTTTCCCCCTCACTATACTTTTCTACTCAGCAGTCACATCCAAGAATGATGAAAGCCACTTTTTTTTAAACTAATAATCCCTTTCTGTGTTTGTTTTGAAGCAGCGTTACTAAAAGTGACACAAGTCCTTCTGAAAATGCTCCTGTTTCCTGCTATCCGTGTAACCGAGTGGAAACTGATTCCGTGGACCTGAAATCCCCCTTCGGAAGTCCTTCTGCGGAAGCTCTGTCCTCTCGGCTCTCATGGCCCAACCATTATTCAGGAGCATCAGAGAGCCAGACCAGGAACGACTTCCTGCTGGATCCAAGCAGGAGCTACAGTTACCCTAGACAAAAGACGCCAGGCACACCAAAGAGAAACTGCCCAGCCCCTTTTGATTTCGATGGCTGCGAGCTCTTGGCCGGTCCCCCCAGCTCTGTCACTGTAGAATTCAGCAACAGCGTCTCCGGCTGTCCCAAGTCAGCCAGCTACTCTCTGGAAAACACGAACATGAAAACTCTTGCAAGCGGCACGACAAAGCAGAGTCTGTCTTGCCCTGCCTTGCCCCCCAGGGCCCCAAAACTAGTGGAAGAGAAAGCTGCCTCCGAAACCTCTCCTTTGCCTCTGAAAATCGATGGTGCTGAGGAGGACCCCAAGCCTGGGTCACCAGATCTCTCTGAGGACCAGTATTTTGTTAAAAAGGGCATGCAGGACATCTTCTCCGTCTCCTACCCTTTCTCCTCTCCGCTGCACCTCCAGCTGGCCCCCCGATCCTGTGGCGATGGGTCCCCGTGGCAGCCACCCTCTGACCTGTCAGGACTGTCGATAGAGGAAGTGTCCAAGTCCCTTCGGTTCATCGGTCTGGCTGAAGACGTCATATCGTTCTTTGTTACCGAAAAGATTGATGGGAATCTGCTTGTTCAACTCACGGAAGAAATCCTCTCAGAGGATTTCAAATTAAGCAAGCTACAAGTGAAGAAAATAATGCAATTCATCAACGGCTGGAGGCCCAAAATATAGCCAAATAAGCCCAGCCGGCATGGAACCAAACCAGTCAGAGCGGGTGCTGGAAGGGGTGGGCTGGGACAGTGTCATGTTTTTGCACTAAAAACCTTCTCTGTAAATGGGGATAAGAGAAACTCTTACTATGCAGGTTACGTTTCTGAATGACGAACAGGCTATTTTGTACATCAATAAAAATGCTGTCCAGAACACTCGAAGGTGTGCCTTGTACGTCACTCAACACTCAGCAGCTGTGAAAAGAACAAAAGGCATGTGCAGAGAGGCCACTCTTACCCGAGTAGGTTTATGCGAGAAGGTGTGATATTTATTACAAAATAGCCAAAGCTGAAAGACACAAGAATCTTAAAAAACAAAAACACTTTTGTGCGACAGTTCCCTTCTTTCAGGGATTGACTTCAGATGATTAGCTGTCTTCTGTGCTGTCGTTCGGATTGCTTCACGCTAATTGTTCAACTCCCGTGCCTAAAATGCTAGTGATATGAAATGACACTTTCATGGTAGACACTTGGTGGGGACCATTTTATCAAAAGGCATTTTCCAAAAGTCACGTGTTGATGGAGAATGTGTGATATCCTTGGAAAATACACAGATCATGACCACAATCATTTATCTGTAACTGCTGCTAATTTTATGAAGCAGAGAAAAAACAGAGTATGCATATATATGTGTATGTGTGTATGTACATGCAATACACCCAAATATGTTTTAAACATAATTTTGAATCTGATATTTTAGATAACATCTGTTCGCTTTCAAATACCCATTGGGATTCGGGGACCGTTAACTAAGTCGATCCTCTTAGGATGAGAGGGCAGGATGATTCCAAAGATTCTCAGCACTCTGTCCCTCGAAGCTCAGTCTTAACTGGCTGCATCACTGAAAACTTGGAGCCAGTCAGTAAAGAGTCTGTTTTGCAAAATTCACTGTGATGGTAAGCCCATTGTTGGGCTGGTTTTGCGTTCCCATTCTCCCATGCGGATGTCTGGGAAAATGACAGTTCTCTGGTTTGAGGGTCTTCTTCCCCATTCGTCTGATAAGGAGACATCTGAAGGGCACTTCCCAGAGCGTGTTGGGTGTTCTCGACCTGTGTCTTAACTTTAGGAGAGCTCAGAGTTCAGACATACCATTCGTTATTACAATGTTACATCCATTGAGTAATTGTTAAAATATCAATTAGGAGACTCATTTCATAAACCTCCTCTTCCAAAGAAAATACATTATTTGATTCCAAGAATTCCGGTCTGGGAATCTTTACTAAATGTGATTGAATATTCCAAAATAGAATGGCGTCTCATCATCATCATCATTCTTGACTTTTTGAAAAAATCTAGATCTTAGGAAAGCTTTAGTTCTCTGAGCAAGGCATCATTCAAACAGCACTACCTCCCCCCTCAGCATCCTCAGATTCCGGGTGGATGTGTGGACACTCTGTGATCAGGGTGCACACTGTAGCCTCTTGGATGGGGTAGGTTGGCCAACAAGGTGTCGGCGTGACTTGCAGGATTGGCTGATATCATCTCCTCTTCCTGCTCAAAAAAACAAATAAGTTCAAAGATAAGACCCACCAGTCTAGTTTTTTAGACCTGTAAAATATGTCTTTATTTCTTGGCGTTAGATAAATGTTTTTAAGTCCATTTCATGATTTAGAGTTGCGGGAATTGATACCTATTCTAATTATCCATCTTAGATCTCCTTTAAAAAAAAAAAAAGGTAGCATTTTTTTTCCTCTCTTTTCTCCCAAAATGTAAATACTCTAGATAAAAAGAGTACCCTGTAAAACTGTCAAACTGGAGCACTTCTTCAAAAGTAACTGACAGATCCATGAGGAAGTGTCTGTTTCAGCACCCACAGGACAAGATACCCGTACGACTTTTCGTGCTTAGAAAACCATCGTTCAGTGTGAGGCGACTCTCCCTTTGTGAAGCTAATCTCTCATAACTGCTTGTTAAAATAAAAACAGACAAGATACAATTGCAAGGCTGCAAGTTTTCATTGGCAAACTCTGTTGAATCCATTTTAAAACACTCAGCACGCGGACACAAGTCTCCAACTCAGGAGGGAGGAACAGGGTCAACTTGGGTTTGCTATGAAGGTTGCCCCACATAAACAGCTAACGCCTTTTATTTTTTTCATTTTGCAAGAACTTAAAATAGAGTTGTTTTCTCTTTGTCCATTTGTTTGTTTTGGTCTTGGCATATTTCTATCATACACACATACACACTTTTTGAGTCGAGGTCTCATTCTGTCACCTACATTAGAGTGCAATGACACAATCTCAGCTCACCGCACCCTCAACCTTCTGGGCTCAGGCAATCCTCCCACCTTAGCCTCCTGAGTAGCTGGGACTCAGGCACATACCACCATGCTCGGCTAATTTTTTGACTTTTGTAGAGACACAGTCTTAACTATGTTGACCAAGCTGATCTCGAGCTCCTGGGCTCAAGTGATCCTCCCACCTCAGCCTCCCAAAGTGCTACAATTATAGGCACGAGCTACCGCACCCAGCCTCAGTTCTTATTGATTGGCAACACAGAGTCCCTGAGGGCAGGGTCTGTGGTCCGTGCGTCACTTAAGCATGAAACATTCATTGAGGACTGTGCTGGTGTCACTCTACCAAAAAAAAAAAAAAAAAAAAAAAAACCCTGCCCTCTTGGGGCTCATACTGTTTATGTTTAAAATCTCAGTTGCCGAGACCATGTGTGGGTAAGAGAGACAAAATCCTCTGGGCAGCTGGATGGATGGAGAGTGACGTATGTACCATCTTTAAGGGACACACAGATAGAAGAAACAGCAGCTCCTGTTAAGGGGTATAAAATAAACACCACACAATCATTAAAACGTAGAATGTGTCAGAAGCAGGAAGGATCTCTGTCTCTTACTACCTAGTGTGTTTGGTTGGTTTTTTTTTTAAACTGAACTAGAATTTTTAAAAATTGTGATAAATATCTTCTGGCATCTCTAAAAGCCACAAACGAATGTCATTGTCGTGCCTGAGCTGAGCATTTGTCGTGGAGGGCCTTAGCACCCTGACTAGACATGGCATTCATAGCCCCAAGAAAATCATAACAAACGCAGGGCAGGGATAAGGAGACAGCCCTTCCCTCCGGAGAGCTGCGATTTTGCAGTGAAAAGCGATGTGCAGAGAACCCCACAAGCAGAACCTTTCTAACCAGCCAAGTCAAGGCTGAGGACATCTTCTGGCAGGTTTCCTGTAATCAGAACAGTGGCCGGAGGATTGAGGGGCGGGAGTGTTTGTCTAAACAAGACCTTTTTTGGGTCTGCGGCTGAAACCATCGTGCCCCCATCAGAAAAGACAATCAGCAATAAGCCAAGCCAGGCAGCTAAGACTTACAGTGTAGACTCGACTCGTGTTGGGAGGCAGAACTCCGACACTCGCAGATCAATCTCCCAAATTCTCCTCTTTAGGTTGGGCCGCTCAACTTTATGAACTGTGAAATTTACTTACACCCTTTCAACCCACATAGACCATTCAAGTTTATGAAGTCACCACGAACTGCCCGTTCAGCTAAATTGCGGGGTTTATTCTTGTCTCACGTAGAAATCTAGCGATCTTACAGGAAACATCATGACAGCCCGTTTCAGCTGTTTTCTGACACGTGTGCGTCGACAGCCTGTGCTCACCTCCCGGAGTCACACAGCTCTCCAAGAAGTTGGGGGGTGGACGTGGGTGAAGAGGACCCTTCATCTTCTAAATACTTCGTAGAAGTCACTGCTCCTCATGCCTAGCGGGTATAAGATTCACATTTCGAATAACAAACTTGAAAACAAAACAGTCCTCCAAAGCACCTCGTGAACTATTCAAAGGAAGTTTTCATTTCAGGCTACCAGAAAAGTTAAATCCGCAGTTGGACATAGGAGGCTTTCAGAAACAGGCCCCTTACATCAGTGTCCACTATTTTTCAAGTTATTGAAAGGCACCAACCTGCGAAGGCGAGAAGAAGAAAGGCTCGGAGTGTCAATGATGAAAAGTAAGACTTATACTGTGGGGATAGAATATTCTGGAATTCGTAGGGCCACATTGCATTTAATCACATTGTTTCGTCCTTGACAACTGGTGTTTTAAAATCTGTCTCATGGTGATAGCCAGAAACAAGGAGTAAACTTGACTTCAGTTAGAACTGTATACAAATATCTTCTGTCATTTTGCTGCTCTACTTTTTAGGCTATAAATTTTGAAATAGAGCTTATCAGATGGCAGGTTTCTTTGTTTACAGTCTCCTGTAGTAGGACTCAGATAATTTCCTAGCTATAAACTTTTTCTCCTACTTTCATATTAAGTTCCATTTAAAGTATTTCAGCTAAGTTTAAAAATTGAATTCAGTTCATTAACAATTTGAAGAGTCCTCCTTCAATGGAAATGGTGTATTCTTTGAAAAAAAAAATCGTAACCATCGTCACAGTTTCTTTGCTTGGAAAACTTGGATTGTTAACTACAGTTAACAGTTGCGTTACTTACCAGAGCATTATCTAATGGGCTGAATGTTTGTACCTCAAGATAAACATGGTATGTTATGTCTAAAAAAAAAAAAACCCATTGTCTGTTGACTTAAATGGTTCTGAAATGTCTATAAATAAAGAAATTTTCAAAGTTTCTTTTCTCGTAGTTGTTCCTCAGTGAGTCAGACCTAGTACATAGACTTCTGTTTCCCATCCTTATTTAAGAGTAAGCACCGGGCATGGTGACTCACACCTATAATCCCAGCACTTTGGGAGGCCCAGAGGAGAGGACTGCTTGAGTCCAGGAGTTCGAAACCAGCCTGAGCAGCATAGCGAGACCTCATCTCTATAAAAATCAAAAAATTAGCCAGGCGTGCCTATAGTTCCAGCTACTTGGGAGGCTGAGGTGGAAGGATAACCTGAACCCAGGAATTTGAGGCTGTGATGAGCCAGGATTATGCCGTTGCACTCCAGCCTGGGCAACAGAGTGAGATCCTGACTCAAAAAAAAAAGACAGGAACTTGTCTGGAGGGAGTCCCGATACTGCAGGCCTGCTCTGTATGAATAAGGGGTGGAAGTCTGTGTCTCTTGTGCATAGTCAGAAGGCTCATGACCGGGTAGCCTGATAGCACTCTGAGAGAATCCAGTACCTGTGGCCAGGACATAAGAACAGCAGATGAATATAGGTGAACTGGTAAGCTTTAAAAAAAAAAAAAAGGAGAGGGGTACATGTATGAATAGGGAAAAGAAAGATAATATAAATTCATATTTCTTTGTCTTACATACAGTGTAACTTACATAATTAGAACTGACAAACAGTGAGCAGAGATAGTTGAGAGCAATGGAGAAAAGTGAGTATTTCACACATGGCAGCTTCCACCAGTGA